ATTGCACAATTACAAAACCATACATTAAATAATAATAATAATAATCATAATAATAACAATAATAATAATAATAACAAATAATAATAATAATACCCGTACAATACAGTACAAGACGAAAGCAGCATTGAAAAGGAAATTGATCACGTTCACCGCGACTACTTCATACACTATATTTTTTTGCTTTGAATTACTTTGAATTAACACACTGACCAGCACTTCACAGCACTTCACCCACTACACACACATACTTATTTAATATATTTTTCCTAATTTGTTTTCTAAAACTTTCGGAACACTGAAGGAAAAGCTTTGAAAATTGCTGCAGGTAAACTTTTCCAACTCTAATTGTTCCTGTTACAAAAGGAAAACTTCCAAGATCTGACATTTTGTTTCCGTTGCTCGAATTTTGTGGTGCGATGCGCTTGGCCCGAAATAATTTGGTTTTTCAATCTAATCTGAATTTTCCTTCCAAGCTGGTGACCTACGTACGTTTATAAAGAGCGCAAAGCCTCGCCTTTGTTCTGTCTCGTTTCTAGTAGGTCCCCATGACTTTTTGTTGCGTTCTACTTCTATAGGTAAATTTAATTCGCTTTTCTCTGTATTCTATCTAGATTTTTCCGTGCGCCTTTCTGTAATGGATCCCCACACGCAACTCACGTATTCATGAGAGGGCGAACCAGCGTAAGATCATGCTAACTTCCTTTGCGTTTGCAGAACGTTTTCTTACGTATTCCGCATACCAACAACTGCCAAAGCATTATCACGGTTTTTCTTACTGTCTGATTTAATGCTTCTCCCACCCTATTTACTTCTAGCAACATCTATGAAATGTAATACTTGCATGGATGAGACTCTTGAGTGATAACCCTCACCTAAACGATAGTGTATGGTTCCTCATAATTTCGTCCCCGCCCGAAGGTTATTGTTTTGCTTTTAGATCCATTAATTCCGCATGTATATTTTTTCAGCCCAATCAGCGTTAAGATTCTCTAATCTGCCTTATATTTGTTCGTCTAGCGCTATTTTGATTTTCGTGCAATAACACATATCGTTCCTTGCAAATGATGACGCACTTTAATTGTATGTTCACATGGAGATCGGTTCACATATACCAGCTAAAAATTGAAGTAATGGCCCATACACACCACTTCCACTGCTAGGAACTCCCTGAACCATAGTTAAACATCTTTCTACCTAGATAGTCGCGAAAACTAGATGTGCCAATTTCGACTTTTTGTTTCGCTTCCAGAGAAATTCGCTTATACCTCTCACTCTAGCATCAACTCCTGAGTTAATACTTTCCTCAATAAGTAAATTATCTGCGGCTACACACGTCCGAATGTCTTTCGCGAAGTCGATTACTAGCTGCATCCACTCCTCCCACCCGCGTCAACTCATCAGCTGAATTGTATTGCCGAAAAAGAGAAAGATTTTGACTTTCGCAACGAATGATTCAGCTTCTAAACCATCCTGTCCGTGGAAAACATCCAGTTTCGCCTGTTCCCTATTCGCGCGACATGTACCCGGCTATTAATTTGGCTCCAATTATTTTGCATACTACTGATGTGAGATTACAGTCTATAATTACATACATTTCGTTTATATCACCATTTTTGAAAATTGGCGCAAACACACTATAGTTGCCTTCCAATGCGTCTCGGTAAACTTGCATTATTAATGGAATTATTCAATATTTCCATTATTATAATGCAAGTTTACCAGACGATTGGAAGGCAACTTAACAAATAGGGCAATATCGCCTCAACCCGCCGAGTTTAATAAAATCTGTCGAGATACCGTCTGCCCACGTGATTTACCGTTTTTCCCAAGTGATTTATTAGCGATTGCGGAGTTCCCATCTGAGTTTGAATTGGTTTTCTTGGAAAATAAGTGAACTTGCTCTGCGCCCGTTCTGGTTTGAATACGTTACGAAATACGCGTTAACGAATTTTGCTTTTGCTTGGTCGCCGTGCAGTGGTCTTATCTCCGCGACTCGAATTTCCTAAATTTCTTTCCTTATTCCGCGGGCGTCTCGGACCATATTTGTAAAAGCTTGACCAATTTAATTTCGTCCCGTCTCCAACCATGTTCATATTAAAAATAAATTCATGAGTAATATTCTTTTCTTTTTCTAATTCCTTGTAGTAATTTTTTAAAACCTTTATCACTGCAGCAATTGCTGCGATGTCTCTATTAAATGTTAGCTTGGACTTTTCTCTTAACGTCGTATTGCCTCGTTAAAATATCAGGATCCAGAATTACTTTTCATATTTGCAAGGAACGTACTTATCTAAACGGTTCTACGATTGTTTTAAAAGCTCCCATTGCTCCTCTATTCCCCTTCTTTCTTAGAAAATTATTGTATTTTTCTCTTAAGGAAACTACGTAGTCTTCAGGTTTGCTTTTCTATTAGTTGCTGACTAATAGTTGCTTTTTGCCTTTAGGTCGCTTAATTACTTTACCTGCACTTCTTAATACTAACTTCTTGGTAAGCTAATTCCCTGAAGACTTCGCGGAAAGGACATTTCTGCCTTGGCTAAACAAGGAATGTCAAAATTGCCTCCCTGCCGCGTGGTTTGTCGACTACCTGCGTTAATCCTGCTCCTCAGACTGGACGATTGACCGCGTTTGAGTTTCCTGTCGCACACCTCTCCTTTCAGTAGCGTCGGAAGGTTTAAGTCGCCAGCGAGAAAGAATAGAAATGACTTTCTGTTTTCGCAGCCTATATGAATTTATCTTAAAATTTCATAACCATCGTTGCAGGCCTATAACAAGCAATAATTTCACGGGATTTCCCTAGTACGTCAAATTTCCATTCCTAAAATTCCAGGTTCGTTTTCGTAATGCGTTACGTTTCGTTTCTCGTTTTTACGAATACGAATACGTTTTCGTAAATTCTTGTATTCCTATCCTAAACCCTTTTACATGTTGATATTCTGATGCAGATGGAAACAATAGTTTGGTTTTCGATTAGTGAAGACATTTGGAGAAATTTTCCTTAAAGTGTGAAAATAGAGCATTAACTTATATATCCAGACAAAGGGAGTAAACATGTAATTTTGTTAAAACGGAACATATTGGCAGAATATCGTGCTCGAAATATAAATTTTACACAGTGATTCCACTGAGAAACGTATGGTACATCAGGAATGGCAACAGACTCTCGTAGTGCACTGAAATCGGTTTATAAAGATGTACAAAAACTCAACAGTTAATTTGATATGACAAACGTTTTACAAATCACCAAGAATTTGAAAAAATGTTTCAAAGTTACAAAATTGCTAAAGCACGAACAGAAACGTCCGGTTTATATGTATATATAATGATTTCATTTGCGAATAAGACATGCTTCAAATGATGTTCAAATCTCTAATAGTTCGGCTACAACAATACTTTTCTCAAATAAAATTCCGTGTGGGACTCGACCCGGCATCTTTGGTTTCAA